ATGAGTGTTCAATCTGCTGGACATTATGGAGCCTACGAGAATATGATGCGATCACGGCATACACAAGGAATGTTTGATTGAACGAAAGACTTGTCCCAATTACCGCACGCAACTGATACAATGACTTGATATAAAATTTGGAAATGAACAAAAGTGGGACAGGCTCCTTATTTGGAACCAATCCCAGCTTATCATTTTTTTTAAAAAAAATTTATTTGTAACACACTTGGTGCCAGTTCTGAAAATTTTTCATTTCAACATTTACGAAAATCACAAATTAAGATTACGGTGATGCTTATTTTCAATCGTTCAAAATTTTCAAGGCTGCGATGTTGATCAAACAGGGGGGCTATTTTTTTTAATCACACTCCATGCAACAAGTTTTAAATTTTTTTTTTACACTGAAGAAGAAAAAAAGCATTTTCCTTGAGCTGCTTAGATAAATCTACCCTAATAACATAGATGTGTTAAAAAACGCGTGATTGCGCTCTAGTGGAAATTTTCTATTTCTCCAACCCATATGGGATCGTTACTGATGGATTCACAAACGCATAACAGCCAAATTTTGACTTGCACGAGAACGTTACAAAAAAATAAAGAATATATAACCTTGTTATTCATGTTTTGATTCTTTTGAATAAAAATCTTTTCACATTGAGCTGTGTATGCCAATTTCACATAAATTATTTGATTGCATTTACCCAAAAGGAGTTTGTTTTGCTACAGCCCAAAATTCATCCCGTGTTTAAAAAAAATTGGGATTTCCATATAACGCCACGTGGTGCTTTTTGCTGTTAATTTTGAGTAAGGTTCCTCTATAATGGCTAAAAGGGCTCCATCATTTCATTAAAGAAGATGACACATGATTCAGGTTCTGGTATTTTGAAAAGCCATTCTCCAATATCCAGTGAATAAATAAAGTTTTAAATTTCATGGGCAACTATCAACACCAGTCCTTTCTATGGTCCCAATAGTTTGGTCAGGAGAGCCGTCCAAAGTTTGGAACCCTTACTGTTAATTTTACTTTTCGCGTATTTCACTATATCTCGGAAATATTGTAAGCTAATTGAAAAATTTTCGTACTCAAGTATAAAATTCATTCACCCAAAGATAGTTGCAGTCAAAAAATATTTTTTTAGTAAATATCAATCATTTTTTATTATTTTATTTAATATTAGTCGAAAAAATTTTCAATCGTAAAGTATATAATTTTTTACATAATTTTAAGAAATATAATTTTACATGGCAAAATTTGAGTGAAATCTGGCGAATCGTCACTGAAAAATCGAATTTCAAAAAAGTCCTATTTGATCAATTTTAATCAAAAAGAAATTTTTTTTGCCATGTAAAATTATATTCGTTAAAATGATGTACAAAATTTTATACCTCACATTTAAACTTTTTAATGTATAAAAATGTTAAATTCAAAAAGGTTTTTATAATTTTTTTAGCAAAATTAAATTAAAAGTATGTATAGTTTAATAAATTTGAAATACAAAAAACCTTTTAAGTGTAAAATAAGTGTTTAGTAGTTAATTTACAAGTTTATAATGCTTTTAAAGATAAATTGAGAAATATATTTTTCCTTGCAACCGCTGGGAATCGAACCCCTGACCTTTAGGTATGTAGATTCGAATTTAAATTTCTTTCATTTTCTGAAGAAAATTTTTTTTTTCGCGATCGCAACGAACTATAGGGGGCGTTGTTGTATGAGACGCATACCTGCGATTTCTATATGAACCGTCATTCAGTTACTCTGGAGACGTCGTTAATGTAGCGTGTAGCATTGCAACGTTCCTTCTTTAATGTGGCTTATTAAATTTAAAAAAGAAAAATGCTTGATCTTCTTTCTTGTACAACCGAAAACAAAATGGTATCTCTTTTTATTAGAGAAGGAATATCCAAAACACATCGGAAAAATATTTGTACATTAACAGAAAAAAATATG